AAATTACTCCCAGATGGAGGTACACTGTTAATGAGGGAGAAAGTTACTCTCCCAACTCATGGAGACGATCCAAATGTGTAGCTAAAAATGCCTACAACGACAAAAAAATGTCACCGGTTTTCATGTTGTGCCTTATTTTTGAGCATTGTGGAATGCTTTTAGAGTGCACGCCCTCGTTTACCTCGCATTTGGTAATGTGCCATATGATAGTATTATCCACTGAAACACCTGCAGATCATTGGACAATTATAAACTTGGCAAATCAAGCTGTTAAGGATGCAATTACATTCGGTGGCTTACTTCGGTGTATTAAATAGCAGGTTTCCATCATTCCAGACGATCTGGTCATCGTCATATATGCTCCGGAATCTGTAGGATAGAGCAAAGTAAGATTGTTTAAAGTAAATCGGGCGAGCACACCACATCGATTCGGCGAGCATGCTATGGGTACCGAAGCGGAATCCTCGTTGTTCAATTTTTTCTGCATAGTAATATGTATTCAAATTATTTCTGAAGGTGATGGTTTGTTGGCGAAATATGGGTGAATGAGAAATAGGAGCGGAGCCACCCTTCATTCTATCCCATATTTCAGTCTAGGATTTCTCGATGATAATGGCAAACCATAAGTCATGGCCAGGATGCGAAAAACCACCACATAGAGGTCATGCTCGATGAATCTGCGAACATTCCACCAAATATCATGAGAGAATTACCCATTCAAATGCCTAATGCCACGTCCAGCAGCAGCCACTTCCCCATCTCTTTTATCTCTACCAGTTAGAATGGTTGTCTGCACCATCGCCGCATTGCAAGTCACCGCCTCCTTCAAATTAATGCACTTGTTCCACTTATAGCCAGTGGAGGGGCCTCAGATCTTTTGCTAATTAGGGGTGTGCTTCCATCCACCCACCATTGCTAACTCCCAAACAGCACCTTTGCCCGGCCTCATGTCACGCACTGCCTTCTTCACTAGAACTAGTGTCCAGTGGAAGAGATGCCACTTCGACTTTGCGAAATAGGCGCATGAAATCAAAGTGTGACAGCTGGAGCCCTTCAACTGAACTTCTCTCTTCATTCGTCTGAGCGCTTGAATTGATTGGCTAGGGAAATTAATTCACTAGCACTAAAGACAGGGAAGTTGAGAGGAGAATCGACTGCCATGGCCAGTACAGTAACGGCAGCTGCAATTTTACCAAGTAAATGCAAGCCATGATCAAGTAAATTCGGATTACATCGTTTTGCACCATCTTCCATAATTCCTTTAAATACTTAAAAACTGGGCATCATTAAGATCCACCATATTGCTAGTACATTAAGGAGCCTTTACCGCAGCCCATAAGATCCCATGAATCACAGTGGAAACATCCTTACTGGTTTAAACTCACGATAATGACAGAACAATGAACTAAGCTGCTAAACAATCCTCATGGATGACCGGGTTTGCCATATTTGCTGACTTTGACTTGGAAATTACACACAGACAAACAGAAAACTCGCAGTTAGGTGGCCAAAGAACTCAAGTTTAACGTCTACAGATTGTTTGGGGAATGCACAAGCCCGAACCACAGCCAGTACACTTAAATGACATTTTGTCATGAGGCTTCGGGATGGGAGAGCGGCAAGTGACGCACACTCAGGGACACTTGATCCACTCTACAAGTTACGACAGGTACGGACTTCTTTAATGAACCAATAAGTTAGATAACTACGCTCATTTCTGCATGCTCGTGACTGCGAGAAACCGCAGTTCTCGTTCATGGTAGCGACCCGAATAAACTACAATACTGACACATGGGAATTCACCTTTCCAACGTATTTGAACAAGTTAGAATGCGCTACAACTAATTGTGAAGACAACGTTGACTG